TGAGTATCTGTCTATCTACCTATCTTTCTGTCTTCTATTAAACCTTAGAACCGGTTTGTGCGTTTCTCTTCGCCAACACCGAAGGGGATCTCACTAAAGAGAGAGAAAGAGAGAGAGAGAGAGAGAGAGAGAGAGAGAGAGAGAGAGAGAGAGAGAGAGAGAGAGAGAGAGAGAGAGAGAAATAGATAGATAGATAGAGAGAAATAGATTGATAGATAGAGAGAGAGATAGACAAAAACTGTTTTTTATTCTATTCTGCCTCCAGTCACTGGGTATATGACATCGTGTATACTGCCTTATATACCGAAAACAGGGATCTTAATATGGCAACGCTAAAGATGAAGCCAGATTAGGGTATTCCCCGGGTTGCCTTGGGGCATGATAGGAGCCAACCCAACCATACTTAAATATCCCATGGGCATTAGTATTTTTACGATATGCCAGAGGTAGAAAAAGAGAAATAGATAAATAGACAGGTCGATAGAGGGATGGATAGATAGAGATGAGTGTGTATTGTTCTTACCTAGTTGTTTAAATGCAGGAAAAGAGGTAAGCTCAGATGGTCTCGTCTGCTATATTTAAATCATGATTATTCCAAGGTCTTTTTCTTTATCTGCTGGGTTTGATATTACGTCTACTAATTTGTATTGGTTTAGTGGACGATCTTTACTTTTTCGAACCTGACTCCATGGCCTTTATTGCTGCTGAATTCCATTTTCCATGTGCAACGCATGAATAAGTTCTCGATGTTACTTTGGAGGCATTGGCATGAGACATAGTGTACTTTCATTTTTTTGTGTAATTTCGCGTCGTCTGTAAGCATATTTAGATAACTACCTGGGCCTATGTTTGATCCTAAATCATTGATGAAAATAGTAAACATAATCGGCGCCAAAAACGATCCTTGAGGTACTCTGCTACCTACTACTACACACACACACACACACACGCACACACGCACACACACACACACACACACACACACACACACACACACACACACACACACACACACACACACACACACATCATAAGTTGGGGCATCAAAACTCAACATGAAGTAAAATAAGAATATCAAAGTATCTCACCAAAATAAGCATTTGATTACATCGCGAGATGGCAACCCCCTCCACTCTAACCCTCCCCCCCCCTTCCTTAAAAAAAACCCTTTATTCTAGCAAGCAAGTAATAACATAATCATGTGAACTTTATGAAGATATCGGGGAACCAGGATGTAGTCCGTATTTTCCCAACAGATTTCTGGGAGATGGATCTTGTTCATTCCTGATAAAGACTGGAATATGTACGTGTTAAAAAAAGGGGGAAAAATATACTTCCAAAATAAACTTCTAAAATGCATTTTCAATCTTCAGTGAGGAATATTTCCATATAGTTTATACTATCACAGTTATTATTACTATTACTAGTATTATTAATATTTTCATTATCATTATACTTATTATCATCATTATTATTGTTATCACCATCATTTCATCACCATCATTATTAATGGTTACTTTTATCATATGTATTATTAATTCATTGATTAATACTGATATATTTTGCAAGATACAGGAAACTCTTTGTGACATATTGCAATCCTAATAAAGAATGAATTATAGACGAATAATAATAAAAAAAAAAACGTTTTAAATTGAGAATTATGATTTAACTTTTAACATAAACATACACTTTACATTTTCAATCTTCACTGATTAATATATCAATTAATTTGACCTTATTATTATTGTCATTATTGTTATTATTATAAATCCACATATTGGGCGTATGCGAGTGAGTGTGTAGATTAATGCACACACTTCTCGTTCGCATCCTTGCTTTCCATTAATTATATGGAGCGTTCTTGACAAACATATATTATTATTATTATTTTTATGTGTCTCTGGAAGCCAAACCAGTAACTAACGGGAGTCAACAGTACTTTGTTTTTTTTTTCTTTTCTTCTCTCTCTAACTGTTTCTACCTTTCTCTCTTTTAACTTAGTCTTTTTCTATTTGACTTTACATAAAACAGGGATTTAACCCGTTTCATCCTCTCTTTCTCATCCATCTACCTTTATGACGTAATTAAAAATACTATGGATTGAAATGATGATCTAATTAGCAGAATATCTATATTAAAAGTGTGAATTAGTGAGTGAAAAAGAGGAAGAAGGAAAGAGGAGACGGAGAGAGAAAGAGGGGGACAGAGCAGAGTAGAGAGAGAGAGAGAGAGAGAGAGAGAGAGAGAGAGAGAGAGAGAGAGAGAGAGAGAGAGAGAGAGAGAGAGAGAGAGGGAGAGAGAGAGAAATCGATAGAGAGAAGGAAAGAGGGGAACAGAGGGAGTGAGAGAGAGAGAAAAGGAAAGAGGATAGAGAAAAAGAAAGAAAGGGAGAGAGAGAGAGGAACAAAGGTAGAGAAAAATAGAGAGAGAAGGAATGATGTGAGAGAGCGCGAGAGAGATTGAGAGAGAGAATGGAAAAGAAGGCAAGAGGAGACAGAGGGGAACAGAAGAGAGAGAGAGAGAAGGAAAGAGGAGAGAGAGACAGAAAGAATGAGAGCGAGAGGGAAAGCAGCTTGACTTATTAGAGTGAAGATTGTCATTCTTATTATTCCAATAAGAAAGAACAAATTTCCTTCTTTTTCGTGACATTAAAAACCACGGCAACACAAACAATACAGGAAAGAAGCTCTTGTTGCATATTAAAATCAGGAAAAATACACGTAACAAATTTGTTTGGAATCTCTTTTAATCACCCTTATGCACAGGAGGCGTACGAGCTAGAGCAACATGTTCTGATAATGGAATCAACACACGTTTGGAAAACAAGCCAAGTGAAAATGATCTTTAAATTACAGAATTATCTTGGCACTTTAGGACATGCTGGAACGACACCACTCTCATGCGATAACACGGCCACATAGCAATAAGAACCACAATATGCGTCTTTTACGTGGCTATGTGCCTTCCTCATGCAATACGACGTCCACATAGCAATTAGAACCACAACTCCCATATGTGGCTATGAGATTAACGCCCGTAATTCTTGCTTCCGCTTCCTGTCGAGGCGGTAGCTCTGGGGAAGAAAAAAATTACTGAATTACTTACGATGGATATAGAAAAAAAGGGAGGAATAAATTATAGGATAAATATAGAATCAGAAAAGTAAAGAAAGTAAATGAGAAAGTAACACAGTAGACGTGAGAAAGTAAAATATGTAAATAATTATATATATGTATTTTTTCAAAGTACCCTCCCCCTAATAAAAAGGCTTCATCTCTGCTTACTTTGTCGGGCCTTTACGAGCAAAATCGACGACGGAAACAGCTCCAGATCCTGAAGTGCCACCGAAACCTCCTGAAGTGCCGCCGAAGCCACCTGATGTGCCACCGAAACCTCCTGAAGTGCCGCCGAAGCCACCTGATGTGCCACCGAAACCTCCTGAAGTGCCGCCGAAGCCACCTGATGTGCCACCGAAACCTCCTGAAGTGCCGCCGAAGCCTCCTGATGTGCCACCGAAGCCTCCTGAAGTGCCACCGCTTCCAAATTGTCCGCCGGTGCCTCCGAAACCTCCTGAAGTGCCACCGAAGCCCCCAGTTGTGCCACCAAAGCCTCCTGTAGTGCCACCGTAGCCTCCTGAAGTGCCGCCGAAGCCACCTGTGGTGCCACCGAAGCCTCCTGTATTGTGTCCGCCGGTGCCTCCGAAACCTCCTGTGCCACCGAAGCCTCCACTTGTGCCACCGAAGCCACCTGTGGTGCCACCGAAACCTCCTGTATTGCCACCGAAGCCTCCAGTTGTGCCACCGAAGCCACCTGTAGTGCCACCGAAGCCTCCAGTTGTGCCACCGAAGCCACCTGTGGTGCCACCGAAGCCACCTGTATTGCCACCGAAGCCTCCAGTTGTGCCACCGAAGCCACCTGTAGTGCCACCGAAGCCACCTGTGGTGCCACCGAAGCCTGAAGTGCCTCCGAAGCCTCCGGTGCCAACTGGCCTGCCTCCCAGTCCACCGTAGCCACCGGAGCCAACTGGTCTGCCGCCGAAGCTTCCTGTGCCGCTACCGAATGCTCCTGCGCTCACACCGGTGCCCCCGAGGCCTCCTGTCGCGGCACCGAAGGCTCCGGCACTGCCCGGAAAGCCTCCTGCACTCCCACCAAAGCCTCCCGGCCTGCCGCCGAAGCCTCCAGCGCCGGCAACGGCACTGGCGCCCCCGGCGAAGGCCCCGGCGCTGCTGTAGCTTCCCCCGTAGCCTCCGCTGAAGTGTCTCCCTGAGCCTCGCCGTCCTCCGCTTTTCCTCTTCCCTCCCGGGTCGGCCTCCGCCACGCAAAGTAGCGCCACTAACGCCACCTAGGAAGAAAGAGAATTGACTGAGACTACGAATAATGAGAAAAACAAATAAGCGAATGAAGCATTTCTGAAGAACCAGAATCAAGCAAATAAATACCAACTTTGTTGCGAGTCACTCTTTCAATCTTTTCCACTATGCCATCACTTGTAGGGAAAAAAAAAAAAAAATCATGGTACACTGCCCTAATTATTTCCGTTGCGACAAACAAATGAAAGAGGAAAATCGCTATGTACTGCTGTAAAACCCTATGACATCACAGGAAAACAAATGACAAATATAACGGACTTCGAAGCGCTTGAATAAATAAAACATTACTCACGAAAGCCACAGCAGCTCTCATCCTGTCCTTGTTGCGTGAACCTGTTGAGTGAGCTGCAACAAGGGTTTTGGCGGCGGTATTTATAGGCGCTTGACCCTCCCCTCAAGGTAGGGATGGGGATGAGGTGCCAGTTCATGATTAGGCCAAAATTTACGAGTCTGTGGACTGTGGTTCTAAAAAAGAAGATTACGTTCAAGATGATTTATCCCCTTAGAATATTAACACTTCCATGCTCAAGCCTACACGTTCCTCGATTCAAGCACCTGCAACAAGACAATGATAATAGACATGAAGGTTGCTAAAAAAAAAAAAGAAAAAAAAAAGACAAAAAAAAAGACACATAACGCTGCAAACGTTCGGGGAAAACCAAGGCGGGTATTTCGCCTCTCGGTCGTGAGCCGCGCGGGTGGTTGCCAAAGCTTAGGTAAATTCTCTCATTCGTTTTCTTCTCCATCATCGCTTATTCGTACTTGTATTTCCTTTTTTTTCTTTCTCAAAGCTTGCTTCTCTCCATTTTTAGATCTAGTTACTACCGGCAACCAACCTTGAAAACAAGAGGTGGACCGAACGTGCAAGTAAGCAAACAGCCTAGATACAAGTGCGTTGGTGGTTTACTTGGGCCCTTGTTTGCGAGCGCCGTGCAAAGCCAGACAGGTGGACCGCGCTCGGAACTGTCATGCACTCTCGGATTGGTCGGGGGTTTGATGATATGGCCGCACTTTTGTTTATTTTTTGTCACACGCCCGTTATCTTCACTTCTATCTCACTTTGTTTGCCTTTCTGTTTGTTTCCCTCCCTATCTTTCTCGGATAATCTGTCTGTCTGTCTGTGTGTCTCTCTATGAATAGAGATATAGTAATAGATAGATGGATGGACAGATAGATGAAAGAATAAACTAGTAAGTATATAGGCAGCCAGGTACGTGGAGAGAGAGAGAGAGAGAGAGAGAGAGAGAGAGAGAGAGAGAGAGAGAGAGAGAGAGAGAGAGAGAGAGAGAGAGAGAGAGAGAGAGAGAGAGAGAGAGAGAGAGAGAGAGAGAGAGAGAGAGAGAGAGAGAAAGATTGAAAGAGAAAAAAAGAGACAGACAGACAGAGAGACAGAGGCAAAACGAGAGGGACAGAGATAGAGACAGAGAGAGAACCAGAGACAAAGAGGAAGAAAGAGAGAGACAAAGACGGAGAGACAGAAGAGAGAGCCAGAGACACAGAAAGAAAGAGACGGAGTCAGAGAAACAGACAGACAGAGACAGAAAGAGAGAGACAGAGCCAGAATCAGAGAGAGAGAGAGAGAGAGAGAGAGAGAGAGAGAGAGAGAGAGAGAGAGAGAGAGAGAGAGAGAGAGAGAGAGAGAGAGAGAGAGAGAGAGAGAGAGACTGAGGCGAGCTAGGCCAGGCAACCTGTTCCTCTCCCCCGATATCTAACCGACAAATGTCCTCCACACAGCCTGTGCGCATTTACCTAACTGCTTGCTTTAGTGAAATGAAAAGATTCAGATACGTTAACAATTTCTAAGCCAACAGTACGAATAATAATGATAGGTGATCCAAATTAGGGTTATGATAATGATAATCATGAAGGTAATGATGTCAATAACAATAACAACAAAATAATAACAATTCTATCACTATTGATAATATCAGTAGGAACAATAATGTGAATAATAAAATTAATCGTAATAATAATAATGATAGTACTACTACTGCTACTACTATTACTACTACTACTACTACTACTACTACTTATCACCGTGATAATAATGATATTGATGACTATAAAAAATGTAGATAATAATAATAATGATAAAGATAATATCGTTCCTACTCTTACTAATGGCAGTAATATTAGATAATTAAATACTATAACTAATGACCATGTAAACTCAGTTACTGAAATAAAGAAACAAAGCCTTTTCCGAAGCAAACGCTGATTCAAACTCCATTTTATTATGAAACTGCATCAAAGCGGTTTCACTTGCTTCGAACCCGTTTATTATATGATCCTCCTCCTCCCATCCACTTGAAAATAATTAAATGTTTTCGTCTTTTTTTATCATTAACTGTGCATGATTCCGATTAAACGTAGGAGTGAATAGAATAAGGAATGATTCGTTAAGCTCTGTGAAACGGAAGATGATAAAGGGAATAGAGTTAAAAGAGATAATCAAAAGGAAATAAAAAATAAAAAAGAAAAGGGTATACGTCCAATTGTATCAGCTTTTTTCGTCATTTTACATAATGTTTCCAGATCTTGCTAAGTTACTGCTTTGTTCATGTGATTGGAATTCTGTCTATGTCTTTATTCTCTTGTTATTCTTATTGCCATCACTGGTATCATTATAAATATTTTAATTTACTTACAAAATGATTTGATTTGCTATGGTTGTCGATGATTCATTGTACACGTTAATTATGAATTAGTGTTTTTTTTTTAGTGGAGGAAGTCATTAGATATCGTAAATGGTTAAAAATATATATTTTTTTGATACCTATACCACAAATTAAGGGCCCCTCCCTCTTTCCCCTTCCCTCCCCCCCCACCTCCTCTTCCCCTTCCCCTCCTCCCTCCTTCTCCTTCCCTCCCTCCCACCTCCCCCCCACCACTTCTCCTTCCCGTTCTAGGTGAATCGTCTTCAAGTTGCATAATGAATAGCAAGCCAGCACTGGATCTTGCATTCTGGCAACACTCAAACCAAAGTAATCATTTGAGTTGTTATAGAATAGGTTCAGGTGTTCTGGTTGTGAATATTAAAAAAATAGAGAAAAAAAGAATATTCCATCCTAAAGCGTATCCTGTTCAAAAGACAAACACAAAAAAAAGAAAAAAAAAAAACAAAAAA